TTCCCCTTTATCACATAAATAGCCCGACAAGACGACAATAAGAATCCCCCGACAGCATACAAATCAATCTGGATAACCTGATTAAAAAATACACACTCACACACAAAAACAAATCTCACTACAGCCAGCCAGAGACAACCAGCCACACCCTCAGCCACATGCAACCTCTCTCACCACCAAGGAAATACAAGTGAATAGTAAGAGAGCCCATACAAGTAACACTGACAACAAAACCCCACACATACACTAAGTAGAAGAATAAAGGCATAACGACCCCACTTCCCCCTCCCCCTCTTCCACCCATTTTTCTCCCCCCCTTTTCTTCTTCCTAATTGTTTAAACCAATTCATAAACCAAGAACTTATGCATTCACCACTAATAATGAAACCTGTGTTGTAGATATTTTCCTGCATTTATTATGCTATTTTTGTGATACACAAGTGACATGAGAAAACTTGGCATACTTATTTGTATAACATTATTCCTGCTTATAAAACCCAATAAAATAAAAATAAAGTCGTGGGGGAAAGAAGGCACACTCTCTCTGAACTTAGCTTTGTACTTAGTTTTTCACACATGGCGCCTCCAGTTTGGCTTTATTTTTGTTAAGTAAATCATGACACGGTGTCGTGTGTCTTGTGTTGTTGTAATGACCTAATTTTAAGACCTGCTACGGAACAGGTGATTTGTTATAATGTCCTGATAAGTAAAACCACAGAATCCAAAGAGGGTTTACTTCCTTTTTCCTATGACTGCATAATCCTTCCCCATCCTTCTCTTTCTTCCCTTTTCCAGAAGATGCTGAGCTCTCGAGCAAGTCTGACTGTGAGGAGCTGTTGACCTGGAAGGAAGAGAAAGCAGCGGACAGCCCTCCGGTTGTGCCGAGAACCAGAAGCGGTCTCAGAAGCGGTCTCAGAAGCGCGGACAGGGCTGTCAAAAGCAGCCCTCCCAGCACGGACAGCAGCAGGCCCCGCTGGCATCGGACGGAGCCACAATTCACGTGCCCCGACTGCGGCAAGACGTTCCCTTGGCAGTCCGCTTTGGCTCGGCACCAGCTCTCGCACGCTAGGGACAAGCCGTACCGGTGCTCGGCCTGCCCCAAGAGCTTCGCCCAGCGCTCGAAGCTGGCCCGGCACCGCTGCCTCCACCCCGGGGACCCCTCCTGCAAGTGCCCCGAGTGCGGGAAGCGCTTCTGTGACCGCCACAAGCTGGCCCGCCACCTGAAGACCCACTCGGGCAAGCGGCCGTACCACTGCGACGTGTGCGGGCGCAGCTTCTGCCTCAGCTCCAACCTGCAGCAGCACCGCTGTGTGCACACGGGCGAGCGCCCCCACAGCTGCCCCGAGTGCGGGAGAGGCTTCAGCCGACGCTCCAACCTCACCCAACACCTCCGGGTGCACCAGCTACAGTGGCGGCAGCGAGGAGGGCCCGGCGGGGAACTCCGCGCGGGAGACGCCGAGCTCGGACCGGGCTCGGACCTTTGCGAGGAGGAATGGGAATACGAGTGGATCGCAGATGGGCAGGGTGGTGAGCAGGCAGATGACGCGCTCCCTGCTGGAAATAGTGAGGGCAACCCAGGCTTGGAGCTCCAGCAGGAGGACAAGGAGATCCTAGAGCTCCGTGTTGGGGATTCTGAGCATGGGTGGGACGCGGAGCTCCACAGCGGCAAAATTATGGAGCACCGGCCTGGGATCCCTGGGCACCAGCGGAGCTTGGAGCTGTGTGCTGGAAACCGCGAGAGCGAGGAAATAGTGGAGCTGCGCGTAGGGGATGGTGAGGAGCACAGATGGATTGAGGAGGAGGAAGATGCTGATTGTCTTCTTGTCAGCGACGGAGGGCCCCTCTGCTCTGACAGCCGGGAGAGCTATCCCTGTCTGGAGCCCGCCAACCAAACCTCGCTGGAAGGCAGCGAGGTCCCCCAGTGCAATGACTGCGGGCGGACGTTCACCAGCAACTCCAGCCTTTCCCGCCACCAGCGGATCCATGCCACGCAGCACCACCACCCGCTGCCCAGCCTGCTGGCCCTGCACCAGCTCGCACACGCCTTGGGGCAGCGCCATGCCTGCCCCGACTGCCCCAAGAGCTTCAGCCACCGATCCAAGCTGCTGCGCCACCAGAGCGTGCACACGGGCCAGCGCTCTTTCCAGTGCGGCGAGTGTGGGAAAAACTACAAGGACCGTTCGACGCTCCGCCGGCACCAGCGCTTCCACAGCAAGCCGGAGGCCTTGGGCCTGGCTCCCGTGCGGGATGCCTCTCCTTACTCGCGTGACCCCGTGGTGATGATTTTATGAGCGGGAACGCCATGCAAATTCCACTGTGGGAAGCGACCGCTTTCTGATGGGACCCTAGATTTTGATGAGCCGCATTTGCATTAGCTGGTTGAGCAGTTTGTTCTGACCATGATCTTGAGGGCGGTGACTGCTGGAAAATTCCAGCTTGGAGTTATTTGGAGAAAGGGTTGGGAAAAGAAGGGGTGCACGCCGTTGCGGATGGGAGGCTGTGAGCCCAGAGATCCAAATAGCCCCCGCTTGCAAATATTCAGGGTTGTAGCTTACTCTTAAAGATTTGTTCAAGCCTACATCCAGAAAGGGGACTTGGGATTTCAAGGGGAGCCATATGGGGGGGCGCTTACAGTCTTTAGGTTTCTGCTCGGTGTCATAGGGCACCTCAAACAATGAGTGTTATAAACAGATAAAAGCTTAGAACAACCCAAGGGACAAGCTAGCGCTTCCCACTTGCTGGAACAAAGCAACTTCCTGGTGCCGGTCACTTTGGAACAGGTATTCAGGAGCTAGAGCAGGCATAGGCAAACTCAGCCCTCCAGATATTTTGGGACTACAACTCCCATCACCCCTGACCACTGGTCCTGTTAGCTAGGGATGATGGGAGTTGTAGTCTCAAAACATCTGGAGGGCCAAGTTTGCCTATGCCTGAGCTAGAGGGTTCATCTCCTGGGCCACAACCATGGTCCCCATCCTAAGGAGCAATGACATGGCAAGCCTGTTTCTGGACTGTACCATATCGGCCTGCAAGATGCTTGTGTGTGTTTAAATCTTTCAGTATTTGGTGGAGGCCAATCTCTTGCACACAGAAAGCCAGGAGGGCTGGGGGCGGGGAGCATTGTTTTAGAACCTTTCTCCCTGACATGCTGGGGAAATGTGTTATTTTACTCCCTACAGGGAGCTGTGTAACCCTTCCAGCAGTCTGAAGTGGTACAGCCCAGAAACAGAACTCCCAAACTTAAGAGTTCTAAGGGTTCAGGATCATCGCAGTGCCTCTTTTATTGGAGGTTCAACCAGTCACTTCCTGGCTGTAATTTTTCACCCTCCAGCTTACCTCCAAGGCTCTCTCCTCAGTTCTCAAGCATGGTCCGTTGCAGTGACTTGGTTGAGAGATGGCTAATGGCAGCGCCTTGTACATGTTAAGTTTTTTTATCTGCTGTGAACTCTCCGCCGTGGTTTTCCATTGGGCAGGGAAGGTGGCAATACCTACTGCATCATGGGGAGAGTTTTGCGCTGCTTGATTGACTGTACATTTGGAAAATAAAATATATTTTCCTTTTTTTGTTTCCATAGTTTTCCTGGCTTAATCCATTGAACTATTTTTATTTTTATTTGTTTGATCTGTAACACATACAACCCCCTTCCACCTGGTGCCCAAAGCAATGAAAGTGTTACTCTTCCATTTCTGGCAGCACAGAGTTCCAATCATAACCTTTAGGGCAATTGTCTGGCTTATGGGATTTGCTTTGTTTTGGACTGGTCCTGCATGCCACATCTCCTGGAGCCAGGTGTGAAGCAGTGGCTCATTTGGGCAAATATCTGTGAAGAATTAAGGACCAGGGTGCCTCTGAGCATGCGCTATAAGCCCAGGAATTGCTGAACCATTCGTGGAACCAAGCACACAAGTTCGTTTCTGGTTTCCCCCCAAAGTGTTCCTTTTTAACAACCCAGTTTGCTTCGAATAATAATAATAATAATAATAATAATAAAAATAATAATAATAGAGGGAGGCTTTTTTGTTTTTGCTTTTTAAAAGACAATTGGGAGACAGAATCCCTTTGCCAATGTACTGCAAGTTTCCCAGAGTTGTATGAATGGTTGAGGGTCTACGTATTATCTACCTGCTCTAGACCACATACTGGCAATTATGTTTCCCGAAGGTTTATAGAAATCAATGTTACTAGCAGTCGTAGGACCTGGAGGCTGATCTAGCAGAGATGGACTAGGGGCCGCTGCTCCTAAATCTGACAGGTAAACCTTTCTTAACAGGCGAAGTAGACAAAACTTGAAAGTTGAAAAAGGTGTTAAGTTTGTTAGAAGTTAAAAATCCCAAAAAGTTTTTAAAAAGCTAAAACCTTCCTTGGAAACATCCAAAATATTTAAAAACATGGGTAAGCTTTAGAGTCCAACAGAACTCTTCTTCATCAGGCTGGATTCTTGCTGCTGGCAAACAGAATAAGTAGGAAGGTGGGACGGGGGTCTCTTCCAGAGCCTTGAAAGGGGAATGCATCCCAAATAAGGATGTACTCTGTGAGGAAATTGCTGATCTACTTTCTGCCCACCTCCTCCAGCTCCATACAGTGGTGCCTCGCAAGACGAAATTAATTCGTTCTGCGAGTTTTTTCGTCTTGCGAATTTTTCGTCTTGCGAAGCACAATTTCGGAAAAGTTTTGGAAAAGCTTCAAAAATCACCAAGTCTTCAAAAACCTCAAAAAAGGCTACCACACCGCGTGCTATGAGTTGCTCCTCAAAGTCAAGTCGCAACTGTATTAACGGTTTTAAGAAAAAGGAAACAAACTTGCAAGACGTTTCCCCATAGGGAAATTCGTCTTGCGAAGCAACTCAAAAAACCAAAAATCCTTTCGTCTTGCGAGTTTTTCGTCTTGAGAGGCATTCGTCTTGTGAGGTATCACTGTATTTAAGGACATTTCTCTCTGCACCCTGGCAAATAGGCTTTTTGTTAAAAGTTAGGGCTGGCAGTGTTTGTACAGGCCCCTTCTGTGCTTTTAGCAGCAGCCTTGTGTGCAGAAATGTAGCAAAGGAAGCTTTTCTGGCAAGCTATGCAATGCAGTAGAGCCAGGTTTTGTTTTTTTCAAAGGGGAGGGGAGCCCACATTGCTTTCGTGAAAGTGTTATGTGCAGAGAGGGTGGGTTGCTAAACAGCTGTGTTCCCACACCCACACCCCTTTGAGCGATAAGCGCAAATCTTCGGCGTTTGGGAGCAAAGTTCAGCATTGGATTTCTGACAGGCGCAGGCAGTGGCTGGGTCTAGATCAAGCCAGAAGCCCCACAACTTGACAGCAGAGAGTGACAGCTTGGACCACTGGATTGCTGTCTCCTAACTCCAGCAGAGACATCTGGGCGCTTTGGGGGTGGGCAGGCAGAAAGATGGCTGAACAGCAGACTTTGGGGTCCTCTTCCCAGCTATAATATTGTGGGCAGAAAGGAGGGCTGGGACCCCAGTTTCTTGAAGTTCCTAGGAGTGACCTGCCTTCGCCATGGCTTCCTCCACACACTTTGAGGACCTTGTTACGGATTTCTCCTGCCCCGTATGCCTGGAGTGGTTCTGGGAGCCGGTTGCCCTCCCTTGTGGCCACCTCTACTGCCAGGCCTGTATCGAGGCAGCGTGGGGAGTACCTGGCAGCAAGCCCATCTGTCCTCAGTGCCGGGAGCAGTTTCCAGAGAGGAGATACACGCTGTGCAAGCTCCTGGGGACCTTGATTCATCGAATCGGCGGGATGAGAGTTGGGGAGGCCGAGGAGGGTCGATGCACTGAGCCCAGAGAATCTGCTCCGCGCCAGAATGGCACTCTGACCTCTGTCCAGGAGACTACAAAGCTGTACAAGGTGCGGGGGGAAGAGTCCAGGCAGCCCCCTGTGTCCTGTTCCCAGGTTGCTAGTAATAGTGATGAATGGGGTGCGTGAGAGCACAATGGGTGGGAATGGGGAGTCTGGAGAAAGGCTGGCAGCTTTTCTATGGCTGGCTGGCTGAATTAGCATTATTAAGGGATCTCAAAGTGACTTATGCAAGCTCGCTGGGTGACCTTGGGCCAGTCAAGGGCTTTCAGCCTAACCTACCTCACAGGGTTGTTGTAGATAGTGGGGGGAGCCATGTATTGCTACCTTGAGCTCCTTGCAGGAAAAGGTGGGATGTAAATGCTATCATCATCATCATCATCATCATCATCATCAAATAATGAAGACATTCCCATGCATTCCCATGCATTTAACAGTACTCCAGCTACTGGTTTGTTAACCATTCCCTGCTCTCTTGAATGGAGAAATGTTTGAGTGTTTTATAGCAAGCGCTGAGTTTCCTTTGGATAAGGCAGCACTGGAAACCTCTATTGCCTCCCCCACCCCCAATTTGCACCTTTATTGGAATTATATTGAAATGTTTGATTGCTTGTGCATTTGCCATATAAATTTAGCAAATAAATAAGACAGAAAACAGATGAGCAACACCTGTCCCAATTGGCAGCAAACTAGGAAGAACTACACAAATAATATAATTATTCCATGCAAGGAATCTAGTTACAGCTTGACTTCTCTATTGCCTTTGTAAGAGATGTTAGTGTTATGTATTAAGATATTTAACAGTTTGCTTACAAACATACAAGCAGAGCAGAGTGGAATCAAGCCCCCCACCAGGTTAGTAGGCAATCCACTTGCTATACAGTGGTACCTCGGGTTAAGAACTTAATTCGTTCTGGAGGTCCGTTCTTAACCTGAAACTGTTCTTAACCTGAAGCACTACTTCAGCTAATGGGGCCTCCTGCTGCCGCCGCACGATTTCTGTTCTCATCCTGAAGCAAAGTTCTTAACCCGAGGTAATATGTCTGGGTTAGCGGAGTCTGTAACCTGAAGCGCCTGTAACCCGAGGTACCACTGTATCTGCATTAGATATCCTTCAAAGGGTGACTTTTTATTCAGCTAGTGAATAGTTCTTCCTGTCTGTCTGCCTAAATTAAAATGGCAAAATACCCTCCCAGTTGTCTCTATTGTTCCCCAAAGTGATACATGTTGGATTCCAAAAGCAGGAGTCATCAAGGGACACCCAGCCCTTTTGTGAAGACCTTAATTGCTCATTGGAGTTTATATCACACAGAACCATTGGAATAGGTCCATGCGATTGGAGACAGTCAAGTTCATGGCAAGCAGGTGACATTTTTCCTGGTGTGGACAATTTCTGAATGGTCAGGTTACTGTTAAATGTGCATTTACTTTGTGCTCTCTCTCTCTCTCTCTCTCTCTCTTTCTCTCTCTCTCTCTCTCTCTCTGTGTGTGTGTGTGTGTGTGTGTGAGAGAGAGAGAGAGAGAGAGAGAGAGAGAGAGAGTGCTTGCTCTCCCCGGCTATTTTTTATTTCCACTTGCCATCTTGAATAGGAGGAGCTGTCTCTGGCTATTTTGCGGATGGAATCTAACCTGACCAAACTTGTCCTGCTTACGAGGGAGGAAGAAGAGAAGCTCCAGAACCATCAGGTGAAGAAGACTGGGGCGGTGAGGAGACATTTAATGAGGGCAATAAGCTTACCATATTTTTTGCTCTATAAGACTCACTTTTTCCCTCCTAAAAAGTAAGGGGAAATGTGTGTGCGTCTTATGAAGCGAATGCCAGAACAGCGAGAGGGATCGCTGCTTTCGCTGCACAGCGATCCCTCTTGCTGTTCTGGCTTCTGGGATTCAGAATACTTTTTTTCTTGTTTTTCTCCTCCAAAAACTATGTGCGTCTTAAGGTCTGGTGCGTCTTATAGAGCGAAAAATACGGTATATATCTTGGAGGGAAATATGCTTAGATCTCTCTCTGGTTGCTAGGCAGTTTTGCTGAGTCTGGATGACCACATCTCCACCGAATACAAGCATCTCCATCGCTTCCTCTACGCTCACGAGAAAGCGTGCAAGGCAAGGCTGGAGGAGGAAGGGGCACAGGTTCTTCGGGAGATGGAGGAGAGACTGAGAGCGCTGAGGGAGTCTTGCCAGCTGGGCCAGGAGCTGCTGTTGGAAGCCGGGGGTCACCTGCAGCTACAAGACTCTGCAAGCTTCCTAGCGGTAAGGAGAAAACAGGCTTCCATGGAGATTTATGGCTGGAGCTGTTGTAAGAAAAACTACTCCTTTTCCCTTATGGGGTATTCCGGAGCCCCTATAGAGTCCTTAAGTGGGTTCCGCATCAGTAGGAGAAAACAGAGGCCAACCAGAGTATACTGAGAAGCAAAGCAGCTAGTAAGCCTGATCTTTATTAAACTCTTGCAACAGGGTCCTCACCACAGGCAGGAGGGAGGAGAACCTTAAACAATGGTGCGCAAGCCATTATATAGACTTTTGAAATTGCCATCCTGTAGCCCAAGACATCATACATCACAGAAGGAGGCGGTCTACAACAGAAATCCTGTCTGCCGGGATACCTGATAATGGTCACTGATTTCATTACCCGGGCAGTCTGCTCATTCTTTTGTGGTCGTTAATGCTTTAGTTCCTGAATCCAGGTCACAGGCTCACCCCATTCATACACAAATGCACCCTTAAGACAGGATTTGCAAGCAAAAAGACAATGGCCTCCCTTACTGCTTTCCCCATTTGCCTCCCTTCCTGCAGAGGAATATTTGAGGCCATTGGGAGAGTCACAATGGCTTCAGGATTGCTCTCCCATACTATTTCAGACACGTGGTTCATATATTTAGATATGTGTGCATTTATGAATACTTGTCCTATATTTGAGACCTTAAAATTCTTATAACAATGCCCTCCATTGAAAAATCTCAGGGCAGTTCACAGAATAACTGTGCTGGTTCTTGGGGGTGATGCTGAAGTTGGTGGGGATTCTGTTTTGATGACGTTTGGCCTCACTGATGACCTTGCGGGTGATACTGTGACTGTGAGATGGATGAGGAAGGGCGTTTAAGCAGGTAGTTTTGTTGCTACTTGCGTAAAATAGCAAAACCAGGAACTCCTGGCTTTAGTAGGTCGAAATTATTAAAATTTCAAATCTCCTTGGTATTGTTCTAAACATGTGTTTCCCCTTTGTCCCCCTCCCATGCACAGGGAATACATTCTCTCCTGAACAGGTGAGTGAACCAAAAGAAAAGAGTAATTTCTTATTCATAAAGAAACACCCCTATTTTATTTTAGTTATTAACATCCTACTTGTGTGTGTGTGTGATTGTTTTCCCTCCCACCTGGCTAAGGCTGAAGCAGCAACAAGCCACACCAACGCTTCCTCTTATGCGCCCCATGCTGCAGACCCTTGGGCAGTTCAAGGGGCCTCTACAGTGTGCCGTTTGGAGGGAAATGAAATCTGCACTTGGCATAGGTAAAGGTGATGTTTGGGAGAACTCAAAAAACGTCCTTGTTGCCTTTTCTGAGTGCACCGCATGAACAAATCTTGACTCAGACTGATTGTATTCCTTCTCCACTGGGATGACTTCTTCTTCTTCTTCTTCTTCTTCTTCTTCTTCTTCTTCTTCTTCTTCTTCTCTTCTCACTCGTAGCCAAGTAAGATGGTCTTCCATGAACACAGTCTTAACAGTGAGTCCGTAAGTGACTGTGGAGGCCAATTCTGGATCTGCACGTCCTTCCACAATGGGGACATAGGTTTCTGGATGGGAGTTGATCATGGTGAGGGTTTTTCCAAGCGTGCCTTCCTCTTAGCATGTTTCTCCCTTTCATCCTGAGTTCAAGCATCTTCAGAGCCCATGACGTCTTTGGTAAAGGCTGTTCTCTAATTGGAGCACTTGCAGGCCAGTGTTTCCCAGTTGTCGGTATTTATACTACATTTTTTTTAGATTTGCCTTGAGAGTATTTGAACCTCTTTTGTTGACCACCAGAATTGCGCTTTCCATTTTTAAGTTCGGAATAGAGTAGTTGCTTTGGAAGACGATTATCAGGCATCCGTACAACATGACCAGTCCAATGAAGTTGATGTTGAAGAATCATTGCTTCAACACTGGTGATATACAGTACAGTGGTACCTTGGGTTACAGACACTTCAGGTTACAGATGCTTCAGGTTACAGACTCTGCTAACCAAGAAATAGTACCTCAGGTTAAGAACTTTGCTTCAGGATGAGAACAGAAATCATGCTGTGGCGGCGTGGCAGCAACAGGAAGCCCCATTAGCTAAAGTGGTACCTCAGGTTAAGAACAGTTTCAGGTTAAGAACGGACCTCCGGAACGAATTAAGTACTTAACCCAAGGTACCACTGTATTTACTTCTTTCAGTACACTGGCATTAGGTCACCTAGAGTAGGGCAGACTCTCCCAGCAGTGGATTGCTAGCCAGTTCCTAGTGTGGGACACATGGCGGCTGCTGCTGGTTCCTGACAATAGTGAAAACAGGAAGCTCCTTTTTACCATGGGTCAATCTAGCTCAGTATTGTGCAAAGTCTACACCAGGGGAGGGGAACCTGTGGCCCACCTGACATTGCCAAACTACAGCTCTCGCCGTCCCTGTGCCTTGGTCATGCTCACTGGGGCTGGGGAGTTGTAGTTCAGCAACATTTGGAAGGAGCCCCAGGTTTCTTACCCCAGGTCTACACTGACGGGCTACAAGGGTTCAGGCAGGGATTTTTCTTTCCTTTTGTATTTGGGGATGCCAGGAATTGAATGTGGTACAGTCATACCTCATGTTACGTTTGCTTCAGTTTGCGCGTTTTCAGGTTGCGTCCTGCGGCGACCTGGAAGTACCGGAAAGGGTTACTTCTGGGTTTCACCGCTCGCGCATGCACAGATGCACATAATGACATCGCACATGCGCAGAAGCAGCAAATCGTGACACGCGCAGATGTGGGTTGCGTTCTTTTCGGGTTGCGAACGGGCCTCCGGAATGGATCCCGTTCGCAACCAGAGGTATCACTGTATTTATTTATTTTTTGCACACCAAACCTCTGTCCCACCGCTGACCACTTCCCAAAGGATTTTTGCAGAGGTGCTGGACTAGGTGGGCTTTTTGATCTTGCAAGGCCCTCATCTTGTGTTCTAAGCAAGAGATTGACACAGATTAGTTCTTCTTAACAGTTAAGAGATCTTGAGTACCTATGTATTTACTGTTCAACCCACCTGTAGCAGCTGGCCTCTGTGGGCTCGCTCAGCTTGGCTGGGGATTCTGTGGGTCATGCAGAAGGCGAGAGGGAATGACTAAGAGTGCTCCGCAGTGAGTCAGGGAGTAGTGAAAGGACACCCAGGTGTTGATGCTGAGAAAACAGATAATGAAGGAATCTGCATTCAACAGGATCTTTGTGATTAGGTGATGACCTGACCTAGGAAGAGCTGTGTATACCAAGCCAATTAAAAGATCAGGCCAGGAGCTAATAAGGCTCAGGGATGACCTAACAGAACGGTAGAGGAAAAAGATGAGTCAAGTACAGATCATGAGTAATGGATTTATGATTTATGTTCAGGCCAGGGGCAGAACACCCACCTGCCACCATCCCCTGTCTGGCTCCGTCTAGCAGATTCGGAATGAAATGTCTCAACAACAGATGTTTGACCCCCAAGTGCTCGGAAAAATCTGTCAAAATCTTCAGTCACTTGAAAACTAGGAAGTGGAATAAAAAAATTAGCACCAGGGAGTTATCGAGTACTTTTTGCAAATTTACAAAGAACAAAACAAGCTTTCTTGGATTTGCTGAAAACCCTTTCAGCACTTCCTTCTCGAATTCCTCCTCTTTTCCAGGGATAAATTCTACTTTTAATTGAGTATTTTTGTGTATTTACTTGATTGAGGGGGGCAGGCCCCCCTGGTTATGCTCACGGGGAATGCATGTTGACCTCTTAATTCACTGAATCCAGCGATTTTGGGTGTGCCGTTTGTATTAGTGCTGGCTCACGAAATGTCTAGTATTTAGAGCAAGGCTGGGGAACCACCATGTGTTGCCTAACTATGACTCTTGTCATCTCAGACTATTAAGTTTATACCTTCTTTATACATTAAGCCAGGCATCCCCAACCTTCGGCCCTCCAGATGTTTTGGACTACAATTCCCATCATCCCTGACCACTGGTCCTGTTAGCTAGGGATCATGGGAGTTGTAGGCCAAAACATCTGGAGGGCCGCAGGTTGGGGGTGCCTGCATTAAGCTATAGTCCCAGAGGATCCTCGTTGTCCCTGGATGAGTCTTACTTCAGAGTACATCTACATAACACTGACCACTGTTCATGTTGGCTGGTGCTCAGGGAGCCAACAGCACTTAGGAGGTCACAGGTTCCCTAACTGTGATTCAGATGGTAGGAACCATTCCCAAGACTCGAAAGACTGTCTCCCTCCCTACAGATCACATGGGGGGCTAAGATTGGCAGAAGGGGCCCTCTGGGTTGTCCCACCGCCCTCAGAAACTCAGTGGGGTGGTGGCCAAGGAACTGGCATTCTCTGGTGTAGCTCCTAAATTGTGGAAGTCCCTCCTCACAGTTGTGGCTGGCCCCTTCATTACACAACTTTCGAAGAATGCTGAAGCTGCACCCCATATATTATTAGCCCCACCTCCCCATTCCTGTGGTTTTAAGTTATTTTAAACTGTTTTTACTATTGTATTTTAACTGTTGTAACCTACCCTGGGAACTTAGGGTGAAAAGTGGGTAATAAATTATAGGAATAATAATCATCATCAGGTGCGAGCTTGTATAAGTCTTCAATCGTAGAAGGGAGCCGCATTTTTATTTTTCCAGTTCATCAGTATCAGTCTTGCCACGGACAAATTCAGCGATATTTGGAATTCATTCTTACAAATACTGTACAAATACTTCCTGCAGCCAATCAGAATGTGCGATTCGGTTTTCAAACGTTTTGGAAGTCTAATGGACTTCCGGAACGGATTCCGTTCGACTTCCAAGGTATGACTGTATACAGTTTTGGGTTTTCCCCCTCCCTCTTTTATTTTCCTTTCTACACGGGTTCTGTTTCTATTTTTCTTTCTTCTTCTCTTTTATTTATGTCTCATCATGTTTAGTGCACATATAATTATATACTTTTTGAACTTTCAATAAAGATGTTTATAAAATAAATATTATAATCCTCCTCCTCCTCAGGCTGCTATGAAATGCAAGGACAACTTGATTTTAAAATTTGCTCTCTTCCTTTTCCCCCCGCCCCCCCCCATCATTTTGCAGACTTTCCCCGGATAACCCTGGACCCTGAAACAGCACACCCGTGTCTTGTCCTATCAGATGACTACACTTGTGTCCGGGACGGAAACCTGCGCCAGGAAGTCCCAGACACGCCCATGCGGTTCAACTACTGTGTAGCCGTATTGGGTTGCCAGAGTTTCTCCTCAGGGAAGCACTATTGGGAAGTGGAAGTTGGCGACAAGCTCTCTTGGACCTTAGGCCTGGTTAGCGTTTCTATCAACCGCAAAGGGAAAATTGCTGCCTCCCCTGGTAGTGGATACTGGGTAATCCGGCTGCGAAATGGCGTGGAGCTAATGGCCAAGGACGACCCGCCTCAAAGGCTGTGCCCCACATCCTTCCCCAAGAGAGTTGGGGTTTATCTGGACTATAACGGGGGCCTGGTGTCTTTCTGTGATGCTTCTACCATGGCCCACCTTTACACTTTTGCGAGTTCTAGGTTCAAAGGGAGGTTGTGCCCCTATTTTTGCCCTGGGCTGTACAATTCAGGGAAAAATGCAACCTCCTTAAAAATATGCCACCTTCCACTATGGTAGAGGGGAAAGAACATCTCCTGTTCTGTTTTTCTTTTCTCAATTCACACCTGCTTCTGCAAGGACAATGCCCTGGACATATCATAAGCAGAAGGTTCTTTAAACTCCCATCGTACAAATAATATTTTTGTATTTATTTTAAAGGGAAAACTCCTCCCAAGGCAATTAAAATGCACATGGTGCAACAATAAAATAATTCAAAGCCCAAACCCCAAAATAAACCCCAAAACACCCAGCCCACAAAATGCCACAGCTATAACAAGACCATAAGCAACTCAAGAAAAAGCAGACAAGAACAGATGGATCTACAAGGCATTCCTAGAGAATCTCCTTCAGTGAAAATAGTAGTGTTTCTTATTTATTCATCCACAGAAAAGGGTAAGCCCCTGGAGATTGCTGCTATGTTTAAAGAGCTACACGAGAAAACCCAATATAGGTAAAGACTGCACTAAAATAGAGGTTTATCCCCCAACTATCAATGCAGTTGGTAGTGGGGACAGTCACAAAGTCCATTTGAAAGAGGCACAAGGACAAAGATTGGAGTGGGATCACGGAGGAGAAGGTGCCACCTCTAAGGAGCAACGTGATTTTAAAACGGTACTTCTCAGACTTCATGAACTTGGGATTTGAACCCCCCTCCCCAACCCATCTCTTAGCAAGGAAGCACATAGATGCCTCAGCAAAGGCAGTATTGATGCGTGCGTGGCACCTGCTCTTTGTGTAGGAATGTGTGGGTTGAGGCAATAACCCAACACACTGGCATTAGGAAAGGACCAGAACAGGCATGCTTGGCTCTGGGTGTGTATCGTTCCAGGCAATTTGCCTTCCAGTGGCCTCTTCTAGGAAACTTACCCAGTTGTTGGGGTTCTTGGGCCCCATCACCTGCTGAGGGATTCCATGAACTGGTCCTGGCCTTAGACTTTAAGCTGCAGTGTATTCTAAGTGCTTAATAAATAACCTTTTGCTCTATGTAAAAGTGTCTTAGGACTGAAATCCTGTTTTGAGGCATGTGGGTGGTGAAGTGTGTTATGATGGTTGGTCTGGGGATCAGATAGGGCATAGTCCCTTGTGTTTTGCAAATGGCTCCCCAACTGCACTTCCCTTTTTGTACAAGATGACTACAAATTTCCCAGGGTAGATCCAGTGATATTTTTTCCTGGGGGGACACAGGGGGACGCATACCCCTAAACATTTTGTGAATCTTTGTACTTTTGTCCATTAACTGTATTTATTTTCTCCAAATTGAACCAAAAAATTGTGATTTTCTTGAGTCAAAATAAGAGTACCCCTAAACTTTTTTTAAAGAAAAAAAGAGGACTGGGTAGATCCACCTGTAACATCTCTTGCCGCAGCATCCTTTGGATGAGAGAGCACTGGAGACTTATGATGCCACAGTAGTTTTGCTTTAATATATGAGCCAAGCATATTGGAAGAAAGGCACCTTCAGCAAATGCTGGTCTCCAGAGTGAACCTAGGGCAGCTGGAGGAAGGCTGCCATCTCGGTTCCAGCAATAAAACACCACCAACTCTCTGTCTCTCCTTCTGTCCCTTCTACCTGCTGTCTTTCACTTTCTGCCAAGAAAGTGAATTGCTCAGTATGCAGTCTGAGCTCCCTTCCAGATGTTGTTTTTTTTGAGCGATCGTCATGATTTGTGCTCAATATGTTGCTGGTTATGCATGATCACGCTTTTAATACCATTTGCACCTGCAAGTTTTGAGCCGGTCCTACTGCTTAGTTTAAAATATCATTTTTCTTCATACCACAAATGTTTTGGGGTGTTGCGTATGTTGTTTTCTGTGTGTCCTGCTATAACGCAAGAATGTCCCTCCAGGTGGCAATAATGTGGTCACATGGAGGAAGCATTGCAGAACAGCTAATAACATGGAATGATTTAGAGGTGGTGAAGTATAAATTCACCACTAATGCGCTGTGATTGCGGTTGTGACTTATGCCCCAACTGCACAATACATTTAAAGCGGTATCATACCGCTTTAAACAGTCCTAGCTTAAGAATCCTGGAAACTGCTGCTGTCTTTATCTTTTGAATGTCTATAGAGCTGGATGTGCTTATGTAGTGACAATGGGCAGAAAGGCGCTCTTGTCTTCGTTACTGCTCACACTCCCAATACTGAGCTCTGGACTGCATCACAACAATTGTTTGGGGTTTTTTAATTGCAAGACGCCTGCACTATTAAAAACTCATGAAAGGCAGAGATTTGGATAGCTTGGGTTTCTTTAATCAACTTACAGTGGTGCCTCGCAAGACGAAATTAATTCGTTCCGGTTTTCGTCTTGCGATTTTTTTCGTCTTGCGAAGCACGGTGTCGGGAAAGTTTTGGAAAAGCTTCAAAAATCACCAAAGTCTTAAAAAACCTCAAAAAAGGCTACCACACCGCGTGCTATGAGTTGCTCCTCGAAGTCAAGTCGCAACTGTATTAACGGTGTTAAGAAAAAAGAAACAAACTTGCAAGACGTTTCCGTCTTGCGAAGCAAGCCCATAGGGAAAATCGTCTTGCAAAGCAGCTCAAAAAACAAAAAACCCTTTCGTCTAGCGAGTTTTTTGTCTTGCGAGGCACCACTGTATTTTCTGAATGTCTACCCAGCAAGCGTTCAGCACAGATGCTGTCTCTGGGCGCTAAGCAACAAGATCAAAAGGACCCCTGACTATTAGGTCCAGTTGTGACCGACTCTGGGGTTGCGGCGCTCATCTCGCTTTATTGGCCGAGGGAGCCGGCGTACAGCTTCCGGGTCATGTGGCCAGCATGACTAAGCCGCTTCTGGTGAACCAGAGCAGTGCACGGAAACGCCGTTTACCTTCCCACTGGAGCGGTACCTATTTATCTACTTGCACTTTGATGTGCTTTCGAACTGCTAGGTTGGCAGGAGCAGGAACCGAGCAACGGGAGTTCACCGTCACGGGGATTTGAACCGCCAACCTTCTGATTGGCAAGTCCTAAGCTCTGTGGTTTAACCCACAGCGCCACCCGCGTCCCATAAGCAACAAGATTAAAAACTTGCAAACTAACCTCCCCATCACCTGTTGAATCCTTGCATGAAATGCATCTGCTAAATGCATCACACCTCTGTCAGGAAGAAACAAACGAGACAGGCAGGCAGGCAGGCAGGCAGGCAGGCAGGCAGGCAGGCAGGCAAACAAACAAACAAACAAACAAACAAACAAACAAACAAACACTGTGGGCTGAATCCTGGTGCAAATGTAGCCCCCTTCTGGAGGAATGGTCAGTCACCGTTTTAAATCCGAAATGCAATCTGGGGCAGGAAGAGTTAAAGGAATCATAGAGGAACTGATTTTTGTTGCTGCCAGATTTCTACCCAGCGAGGAATTGGGGGGAAGGTAATAAGAGATGGACTTCTTCCTGTTTCAAGCTCAATTTCGCCCCCTCCCCTTCCCACCTAGGGACACATAATAGGTTTGGGGGCTCAGAGGGAAGATTCCTCATGCAACAAAGGAGAGCGGATTGCAGCCACACTCGGGGGGCGCGTTGGGTGAGTCAGAGGCGCAAAAATAATTGCAGGGGGAAAGGCAGAGGGCAAAAGTTTCGCATAAGGGGAGGGGGACCGAATGCTTTGAAGAAATCAGAGATCTGGTTCATTTCCTCTTAGAGTTTTCTCTTTTTTTTGTAATTACAATGGATTTCTGATTTCATCGTTCCTTTTCAATCCCGTCCTTTCCTTCATTCCTCATCTAATGTTTAAGGAGAGTATCAACCCTGCACGTTTTTTTCAGAAAACACCTGCATTTCCCACAGGGAAAACATAATATGTGGACATCTTGTCTGTATGCACGTGTATCTTTATATAAACACCTGCTGGAAGAGACTCTGGCTCCCATCACCTTCCCCAAATAGGCACACATGGGCAATTAAAGGTTTTGTGGGTACATTTTGTCCATGTTTTTGCCACAGGAAGGGTCTTCTCCCATTCTGGATTCTGCATGCTGCAGGTTGTGTTCTGTCTCTCAAAATTCCTTTTACCACATGTTGTCATAGGTTCAATTTAGGGTGGTCAAAGAGTGGGTTTCTTTTATTTTTTTTAAAAAAATTAATTCCCCTGCCCCCCTACCTCTGCCAATCTGTGAACAGCACAAATTCTCCAAATAATTCAAAATTCATGTTAGCAATTGCAGGATACAGAGGTTGAGCACCTGTAGTTATTGTGGTGCAATTACCATGTGCTTCTGAGGTGTGAAGATTCTGTGTGCACGGAGAACAATCTCTTTTCCATTAACCCTGTTTTCCATCTGCATGGAGAGCCAAAGTCCACTGTGAGATTGCCTTTCTATATATGGTAGGAATATGCCATGCGGATCCATTGCCCTGTGTAGCTGTGAGTGACAGATACAGTAAGATTAAGCAAGGAGGACATTGCAATCTGGTAGAAGCAAGAGAAGCTGTTTTTGGTGAATTGCAACTTTTGCAGTTACAGCATCCAAGGACCGGGTGAGGTTGATAACACTTTTGCTTCCCTGGCACCTCCTGCTATCTGCCACTGCAGCCAGAGATGTCAGCAGCCTAGTGAGGGAGTCCTGGCCTTTGGGGAACTGCTCTGATTCCTCCACCATCCATTTCCAGGTCAGGAGATTCCACAAATTCAGCAGCAGAGTAGCACTAGAAACATTTGAGAGCCAGGGGAGGCTTATATGTAGTATACATAGTTCTTAGACATCGTTTGAAGATGTATCTCCAACAAAGAAGTACTAAAATAAGAAATCAGCTTTATAAGAAATGCTAAAAATAATAGAATTGGAAGGAACCCTGAGGGTCATCTAGTCCAACCCCCTGCAATGTGGTAATCTTTTACCCAGCATGGGGCTCAAATCCACAACCCTGAGATTCGCAGTCTCACGCTCTACCAACTGAACTATCCTAGCTTCTTTTTAAAATAACGTGAGTGATTGAAGTAATTTATTTCTATTCATACCACATTTCTGTCTCCTTTTTTCAGTCTGCAGTGATGGGATGTTTGGGTCCTCTCCCCCACACCATGGGAAGTGAGCTCTAGCCACCACCAAGAAAGCCCTGCCCCAGATTTGGACCCACAGAGGAAAGACCATAAACAGTGCTTCTGACCCAGATCTGTGACCAACTGCAAAGGTCTATTAAGTGCATCTTTAATATTTCAGAGGTGGGGAACCTGTGGTGGCTCTCTGGAGTCTAGGGCTGATGTCAGTTGTGGTCCAGCAACACCTGGAAGGTCACAGGTTCCCCCATCCCTGATGTATATCTGAAAGAGCAAGTTTTCCTCTGGTGCAGATTTTGCACACTAACCAAGGCAAGAATGTGAGCTTAGTTTCTTGATTCCTTTCATTCTCGTTGCCTGCAGACCATGTGTGAGGGATATGCTGCTCCTTTAATGAAAGAAGAAAATGGCCACCCCGATTCCAGATTCCAGGAGATGTTCAGGGGTACCTTGTGCCTGTCTTTCAGTGAGGAGCATCAATGCGATGAGGAACGTCACCCTAGAGTTGTGACTGCACACCATTCCCAGCAACGTGGGCGTTTCAGTCAATATGTACGGGAGATGCTATGAGGGCAGATGCTGTGTTGAAAGCAAACAGCTTATTGATGGTTTGGAAGGTGGTGGGGATACCAGATACCAAGCTGGGTTACAAAATGTACCCAAACAAGACGTCCGTAGCAGATGTCGTGATGGCTTGGACGCCGAAGGAGAACAGAGATCCCACCCAGAGTTGGACATTGACGAGATCAAGAAAATAATCAAGTTGCACTCAAACACAGAGTGTAAGCAGACTTGTGGCAGCAACTGGAATGATCCTCCACAGGCCAATGGGGATTTAGATGGGGCGAATGATCTGCATGTCTATCTAGATGAGGAGGGTGCCCAAGATTTGTCTTCCGACGTGGACGGTGACATTAACCAAGACATGGGTGGAAGCCCTAGTCAAGCTTTCCACACGGATGTGGAAGGAACCCGAAGTGTCTTTCCAGAGGTGGAGGGAGAAGCAGATGGAGATTCCACTGAGGACTTTGTTTATGATACGGACGATGGAGAGGACCGTGTTCTCTGCTTGGATGCCAGCGATGGTGGCAGAGACTTCAACATTAGCACCGGTCAACGGGACGTCAACCGCGAATCGTCCCTCACGGCCACCTCGCCCGTTTCCCCTTCTGTGCCTGACAAACCATACAGGTGCCCCGAATGTGGGAAATGCTTTGGCACCAGCTCCATCTTGGGCCAGCACCGCCGCATCCACAGCGGAGAGAAGCCCTACAAGTGCGGCGCCTGCGGCAAATGCTTCACCCGGGGCTCGACCTTCCTCCAGCACCAGCGGACACACACGGGCGAGAAGCCGTACAAATGCTCCGATTGCGGCAGGTGCTTCGGCCGGAGCTCCAACCTCATTCAGCACCAGCGGGTCCACACGGGGGAGAAGCCCTACAACTGCGGCACCTGCGGGAAGTCCTTTTCCCTCAGCTCCACCCTCATCCAGCACCAGATCATCCACACGGGAGAGAAACCGTACAAATGCCCCGATTGCGGCAAGTGCTTCAACCGCAACTCCAACTTGCTGAACCACCGACGGGTGCACACCGGGGAGCGCCCCTTCGCCTGCCGCACCTGCGGCAAGACGTTTTCCGAGAGCTCCTCCCTCACCCAACACCAGCGGACCCACACCGGGGAGCGCCCTTTCCGGTGCAAGGAATGCGGCAAGTCCTTTTCGCTCAGCTCCACTCTGATCCAGCACCATGTCACCCACACCGGGGAGAAGCCTTATGAGTGCATGGACTGCGGCAAGTCCTTTGGCCTCAGCTCCACCCTGCTGCGTCACCAGAGGGTCCACACCGGAGAAAAGCCCTTCGAGTGTGAGGACTGCGGGAAGACCTTCGGCGTCAGTTCGCACTTTTTGCAACACCGCAGAGTCCACACAGGCGAACGCCCCTTCCACTGCCCAGATTGTGGGCGCGCCTTTAGCCAGAGGGCGCATTTGGCGCTACATCAAAAGACCCACCAAAATGGGAAGGCTCCGCAGCTCCGCCACCAAACCCTCTACATCTGCAGCGATTGCGGGAAGAGCTTCCGGCAGAGCTCGCACTTGGCGCAACACCAGAGGGTCCACACCGGCGAGAGGCCGTACCGATGTGAGGACTGTGGGCATGGCTTCTCCCAGAGTTCCAAGCTGCTGGAGCACCAGCGGGTCCACACCGGCGAGAGGC